ATACACATACTAAAAAAAAAAAAAAAACAGACACGAAAAGAATTTCCATTAGAAAGGTTATTTTGCGTAGAAGCTATATGCACGTGGTTATAAAAAGTTTATATAAAAAAAAAGGATTTACAGTTTGGCCGTCCTACTCGACTTGCAACGGTTAGCGAGGGCGACGGCGAGGAACAGCACGAGGCCAACCGCAAGCAGGACGAGCAGGCGCAAGCTGAAGGCCAGAACGGGGTGGTGGCCGAACCCGCCGATGAAGTCTCTTATCTCTGGCGTGGTCTCCTCCAGGCAGCGGGACTCCTGCACGAACCACTCGCTCAGGTCGTACACTTTGGTGGCGTTGTCGTTGTGGAGGCTCTCGCACAGCGCGCAGTAGGCTTGGGCTCCCTGGACCCAGGCTTTGGAGACGAAGTAGTCCGTCTTCCATCTGGAAGGGTGTGGCTGGTGAACGGTTGGGTGAAACGTTTTGGGGGGCAAACGGTTGGTGGGAAATGTTTGTGTTGGTGGGAAACGTTTGTGTGGAGAACGTTTTGTGGGAAACGTTTGGTGGGAAACGTTTGGTGGAGAACGTTTGGTGGGAAACGTTTGAGTGGAGAACGTTTGGTGGGAAACGTTTGGGGGGAGGAGTGATTTTAAGGAAAAGAGTGAGAGGAACCACTTGCTTTAACGACAAGAGGACCAAACAAGACACATTTTAGACTCACTTAAAATATTAATTGTTTGTTTTCAGCTAATGTAATATCATATCAACCCCAACGTGCACTTTAAAGCTAGGTTTTGATCTCAATTATTCCACTTTTTGTCTTTTTGTGATGACCGTGCAACGGATCTTTGAGCAAGGGTAGAAAATCCGAAGAAAAACCCACTTGAAGTACTCATTGTAGGCGGTGTCGTTCCCGTCGAGGTAGAGGAGGTAGTCGGCGAGGTCCTTGGCCGTCGGGAAGGAGAGGGCGTCGATGTAGGAGTGATCAGGCGCCTGCACGGAGTAGTTGCCAAGGCCGTAGACGACGGGCACGACGTCCAGCCTGCGGGAGGAGGAGCTGCCTGAAGGACTGCTGTTTCTTTTTCTCTCTCTCTCTCTCTCTCTCTCTCTCTCTCTCTCTCTCTCTCTCTCTCTCTCTCTCTCTCTTCTTCTCTCTTGTATGTGTGCGTGTGCGTGTGCGTGTGCGTGTGAGTGTGGTGCGTGTGCCGTTGTAACCCGTGCACCCAAAAAACCCCCCAACCCCCCCCCCATTACCCAAACTCACTCTAAACATGTCGAAGAGCTTCTCCGTGACATAGTCCTTGCAGAGGGAGTTCTCGAAGGACAAGTAGAATTTGTAGTTCTCGTTGAGGATCTGCTCGCAGTCCGCCTGGTGGGAGCGCTCGCAGGTGAGGGTCCCGCACCACCCGAAGACGTCGATGTCTAGCCACTGCTGCAGGGTCTCCACCAGGCTGACGAAGGGCGCGGGGAGACACGTCAGCGTTACTGGCAGTGGCGTTGAGTTTTGTTTGTTGTTTGTTGTTGGTTGTTGTTGTTGTTTGTTTGTGCATTGTTGTTGTTGTTGCATTGTTGTTGTTGTTGTTATTAGTAATATTGATATCATTGTTATTGTTCTCATTATTATTATCATTCATTATTATTATATATTATATATTACATTATTATTATTACTATCATTATTATTATTAGCATTATTACAATTAATCTGATGATGAGAATGATGATTATCATTATTATTACAACTACTACTACTACTCCTGTTACCACTACTACTACCGTTTTGCCTATAATTGCTATAATCATTACTATCAACATCATTGCCACTATTATTATCATTATCAACATTCCCCTTATCATTATCATTATCACTATCATCATCATCATCATTAACATTGCTTTTACCATAATGCATTATATTCTTGAAGAATTGTTAATCAAACAGGCCTTAGAATCCCTGAACTACAATACCAAAAATCTAAGTATATGGCAAAAATAAGAAAGGAAAAATCTGGAAATCTAGGAATCTAAGTATATGGTAAAAATAAGAATAAAAATAAGAAAAAAATCTGGAAATCTAAGAATCTAAGTATATGGTAAAAATAAGTATAAAAATGAGAAAATTATCTGGAAATCTAGGAAGGTAAATATAAAATATTAAAAAAAACTCAAGTATATAATATGGTAGAAATAATAATAAAAAATCAGAGATATAAAGTATTTGGAAATCTTTGAAGCTGGATATCAAAAACTAAAAAATATGAGAATATAATAAAGATAAAATAAAAGATAATTAAATAAAAAGAGTCTCTGGGAATTTAAAATAAAATGAAATAAAATAAAAAGAATCTCTGGGAATTTTTAAATCTTATTTCAAGCTTCCAGTGCAAAGTAATTAAGCACGAAGATAATTCCTATATCAAAATCTGTTACCAATTATAGAGAAATTATATTAATAAGGAAATCTCTGATCTCAGAAAATATAATTTGCATAAAATTAGACAAAGTGAGACGATGTTAGAAAAGTAATTAGTATTACTAATTAAACAACAAAATGAGACGATGTTAGAAAAGTAATTAATATTACTAATTAAAAGACAAAGTGAGACGATGTTAGACAAGTAATTAATATTACTAATTAAAAGAGAAAAATTGGGACGATGTTAGAAAGTAATTAATATTACTAATTAAAAGACAAATTGGGACGACGTTAGAAAAGTAATTAATATTACTAATTAAAAAGACAAAGTGAGACGATGTTAGAAAAGTAATTAATATTACTAATTAAAAGACAAACTGGGACGATTTTAGAAAAGTAATTAATATTACTAATGATATGATGTAGAGAAAGCAACACAATCATGATATGGAAAAAAGTAAAGAAAAAAAAATAAAAAAAGAGAAAAAAACGAAAGAAAGAAAGAAAAAAAATATATATACTAAACATATACATATAAATCTATATAAATCAATAAATGTTTTATCAAATAACAATATATAAAAGACTAAATACCATTTTTAAACTTCCAGTGCAGAGTAACTATAGTAAGTATGAGTATACTTTCAACATAATTCGAATCTATCTGTTGTGATTAATAGACGCATTACATCCATAAGGAAATTACATTGAATGTTAAAAAATCTAAGACAATAAGATACATGAAATAAAATAAATAACACATAAAACATATAATATTATAATACATTACACATGAATTTTATAAAATCCAAGACATATAAAATACACAAAAGAATCAAGAAATAACACATAAAACATAGAATATCACAAAATAATACACAATGAAATTTATGATATAATAAAATAAACATCAAAAGGGAAGAAGACACTCCATACACACACACACACCACACACACACACACACACACCACACACACCACACACAACCACACACACTCAGCACACACACACACCACACACACGCACACACACACACACATTCACCACCACACACAACACACAACACACACCACACACACACACACAAACACCACACACAAACACATAACATCACACACACATACACGCACACATAAACACACACACACACACACACACACACACCACAACACACACACACACCAGCACACACACCACACACACACACACACGCACACACAACACACACACACACACAAACACACACACACACACACACACAGCCACATAAAACAACACACACACACACAACACACACACACCACGACATGTTGATGAAATCGTTCCCTTGACTGGAATGATGAGTATTAGATTGCATAAACACACCAACACACACACACCAGCATCACAACCAACACCAACAACACATCGCATTTGGACTAGTTTTGATTTTTCGTGCAGTCACACACACACACACACACACACACACACACCACACACACACCACACCACACACACACACAAAAGAAACCTATCTAAAAGAAGCGAAGAACACACTCCCCAGACGCACTATTCTCTTCCTCCGACCGTGCTGCAGTGAGAGAACGAACACGCGAGCAGCTTGGTCTTGCCCGAAAGCATAGTTCCTTGTCCGTGGGATGTCCAGACGGCTTCTTCCTCGGTACACTTGGGCGTACCTGGAAGGGTGGAGAGTGTAGCGGGGTTTAAGGGGCATGGGCGGAGAGTGGTTTTACAGAAGGGGGGGGGGGAGTTGTTTTGTGATTTAAAACCACTTGGATTGGGGGGCGTCTTTTTCAATGCGATCTCTGATTGGGACTTTTCAATACCTTTAAAACAGGTTCCTGGCTCTCTTTGAAAGCCGGTTCGCAACATACTTGGTGTTATATAGTAGAGAGAGAGAGAGAGAGCAGAGAGAGAGAGAGAGAGAGAGAGAGAGAGGAGAGAGAGAGAGAGACGGAGAGAGAGAAGAGAGAGAGAGAGAGAGAGAGAGAGAGAGAGAGAGAGAGAGAGAGAGAGAGAGAGAGAGAGAGAGAGAGAGAGAGAGAGATGAGAGAGAGAGAGAGAGAGAGCGAGAAGAGGAGAGAAAACACTCACAAACCCAGAACTCACGGCTTGGGGAAGTCAGAGTCGAGGCGATGCGTCATGGTCCAGTTGAAGAGGCCGTCGAAGCGGAAATGTCGCCGTAGAGATAAGACGCCGCGATTCCATCAGCCCAGAAGACATAGCGGGTGTGAGGGGACCTGGGGGGGAGAGGGGGGGGGTGTGAGGGTGAGGGTGGGAGGGGGGGGAGGGTGAGGGTGTGAGGGATAGTGATGATAATTGAGGATGATTGATGATGATTTTGAGGATGTGATGGTGATAGTGGTGTTGGTGAGGGGACCTGGGGGAGAGGGGGAGGGGTGAGGGGCCTGTGGGGGGAGAGGGGTGTGTGTGAGGGGATGGGGGAGGGGGGGAGGTGAGGGGACTGGGGGAGAGGGGGAGGGTGGGGGAGCTGAGGGAGAGGGGGGGAGGTGAGGGGACCTGGGGAAGGAGGAGGGGTGGGAGGGTGAGGGTGTGTGAGGGATAGTTTGGTGATTGATTTGATGATGATTGAGGATGGTGATGGTTGGATAGTGGGTGTTGGTGAGGGGACCTGGGGGGGAGAGGGGGGGAGGGGACCTGGGGGAGAGGGGTGTGTGTGAGGGGACCTGGGGGGAGAGGGAGGGAGGGTGAATGGGGACCTGGGGGGAGAGGGGAGGGGGTGAGGGACCTGGGGGGAGAGGGTGAGGGGTGAGGGGACCTGGGGGGAGAGGGGGGGTGAGCGGGACCTGGGGGGAGAGAGGGGAGGGGGGTGAGGGGACTGAGGGGGAGAGGGGGGGAAGGTGAGGGGACCTGAGGGGAGGAGAGGGGGAGGGGTGAGGGGACCTGGGGGGAGAGGGGGTGTGTGTGAGGGGACTGGGGGGAAAGGGGTGTGTGTGAGGGGACTTGGGGGGAGAGGGGTGGGACGGAGGGACCTGGGGGGAGGAGGGGGGGAGGGTGGAGGGGACCTGGGGGGAGAGGGGGGGTGTGAGGGGACCTGGGGGGAGATTGGGGGGAGGGGTGGGGGACCTGGGGGAGAGGGGGGGGGGTGAGGGGACCTGGGGGGAGAGGGGGGTGAGGGGGGTGGAGGGGGGGTGAGGGGGGGAGGGTGAGGATTGGGGGGAGAGGAGGGGTGAGGGGGGAGGGTGAGGGGACCGTGGGGGGAAGAGGGGGTGTGTGTGAGGGGACTGGGGGGAGAGAGAGGGGGGGGTGAGTGACCTGGGGGGAGAGGGGGGAGGTGAGGGGACTGGGGGAGAGGGGGCGAGGAGGGGTGAGGGGACCATGCTGGGGGGAGAGGGAGGGGTGAGGGGACCTGGGGGAGAGGGGTGAGGGGGAGGGACCTGGGGGGAGAGGGGTGGGAGGAGGGTGAGGGGACCTGGGGGGGAGAGGGGGGTGTGTGAGGGGACGCTGGGGTAGAGAGAGGGGGGGTGAGGTGACCTGGGGGCGAGGGGGGAGGTGGGGGACGATGGGGGAGAGGGGGGGAGGGGTGAGGGGACTGGGGGGAGAGGGAGGGGGGTGAGGGGACCTGGGGGGAGAGGGGGGGTTGAAAGGGACCTGAGGGGGAGAGGGGGAGGGGAGGGGTGAGGGTGAGTGAGGGGATGGTGATGATAATTGATGGTGATGATGGTGATAGTGGTGTTGGTGAGGGATGGTGAGGGTGGTGAGGATAGTGGATGATATTAATGATGGTGATGGTTGGTGATGAATAGTGGTATTGGTGAGGGAGTTGAGGGATAGTGATGATAATTAATGATGATTGATGATAATTGATGATGATAGTGGTGTTAGTGGTGGTGATAATTAGGGCACTGATAGTAAGAAGAATGATAATAATGTTAATGATAATGATAATCATTTGCAATAATGATGGTAAAAATAATTATAATCATAGCATAATGATGATAATGACAAATAACAATAATAATAAGAAATGTAATAATAATGATCATAGTAATAATAATAATAACAATAACAATAATAGCAATAATAATAGTGATATAACAGTGATACTGATAATAACAAATAAAGATATAATATAAATATAACATCATAGTAAGTATATATAATAACTAATAATAATAATAATAATAATAATAATAATAATAATAAATTAAAT